TGAATTTAGACCAATTCAATAGTAAATAATCGAAAAAATACGAAATTGTGGTATAAACAGCGCAATATAAACTATTTTAAAATAGAGGATTTTTTGAAAACAATTGCAATATTTGGAAATGGAAAACAATAGTTGAACTTATAAAAAAATTAAAAAAAAAAAATTCGGAATTTTATGAGTATGTTACTGTTATTTGTGTTAATTTAAGGTGGTTTAAACAGAGATAATACATAGTTGCTCATATTTTCTCAAAATAAATTAATTTTGCCCTGCATTTTACCCATTTTTCATCCGTTTTTGTCCTTTTTTTAAAAAAAGAGGCATAACATTTTTGTTTTAATCGCTATTAAAAATTGTCAGAGGAAAAAAGTATTTATTTTTACTTGTATTTTTCGAAAAAAAATTGAAAAATTTTTTTTTTTTGAAAAATGCGAATTTTAGGAATTTTTAAAAACTCAAAATTTGAATAATTTTGTTGATTTTTGACGAAATCATCTGGCCAACGAATTCAGGCGATTCATTAAAATTTGTTCGAGTTATCGTCGTACAAAATTTGTCTACAGACATACATACAGACAAACATTTTTTTAAGACCCATTTTTTCGGCATCAGAAAGTCTCTCAAAACGTCGAGATTCACTGGAATTAGAGAATGCTGAAAATCGCCCAAATGTAATACCTTCTCATTATGATGAGAATGTAAAAATTACTTTTATTTTGTTTTTATTTTTGTTTTTTCTTTGTATGTAAACCCTTAGTACATATAAGTTTTCTAAAACTACTTATCAAGGATGTTAATAAAAATGAAATTAATGACGTGAGTCACTATAATTTGAAAGATAATTTAAAAAGGTACATTCAAAGCATATTATATGAATGTTACAATTTTCATCAATAGATACTATTCACTGACAACTTCCCATGGGGTCAAATAATGATCATCGTCTAAATTATTGTTAAGAAATGACATTAAGAGTACGGTTTGGATAATTCTTATACTGTCCCCTTAACATCAAGATGATTGGGCTTGTTTAAGAAGTACTTTTCTTAAAGGTAGTTAGTGTTCAACAGTCTCTCTTCTTAAGAATTAAGCCTTTATGAAACATAAATTTATTATTTTGTTTATTATTCTTTTCTTATAGATTTGCTTACGTGAGAAAAGACCTAATATACAGGCCTTGGATCGACTTTAAGGCATAAAAAACTCGTTTTAGTCGATTTATATTCCAAAAAAAGTCGATTTGTTTTATTTTAACAAAATTTAATTGATTAATGAATATTATACTTTAAATATCTAATGTTATAAGATCTTAAATTCATTTTATTAATTCTGTATAATGAGAATAATTCTATAAAAATATTATCAAGAAAATTTATTTCGAATATTTCCGAGTCGAACTAATTGTAAGACAAGTTTTCAAAATTTTATTTAAGTAGAACAAATTTCTAAAAAAAAAAATTCTTAAAGTTCCATTTTTATCAGTTTTGAAAATCTGATATTTAAGCAATTTTTTCGAAATAAAAATTTTGTCATATATTTTAGTTTTGATAGTCAAAAAAAATTTCAGGAAATAATCAAGTTTTACAGATTTTTAAATAAAAATTTGTTTTTTTAAATAATAATTTTGGAAGAGTTAAAGTTGAAATTTTTATAAATAATTGAATTTCAAAAGATTTTGTTAATTTTCAGAAAATAATTAAATTTTACAAATAACTAAAAATAATTTATCAAATAATAATTTTAGCCCACACAACACATATTCCTAAATATTTTAGAAATATTTCACTTAAATGATTTGAAATAAATTTCAATGAAAAGTTGTTGAAATATTGTTGCAAAACAGGAAAATTTCCTATAGTTGAGAAAATATTTCTTTGATATATATTTTGGAAATTTTCAATTTGAATGATGAGCACTGGTCGATGAAATATTTCCTAAATATTTCAAATTTTTTAGTGAAATATTTCAAAAATAGTTAGGAACTATTATTATATGCTGTGTTGGAGATAACATTCTTTAAAAGTACGTAATTGAATTTTCAAAGATTTACAATTTAAATTTTTGAAATTAATTGAACTTCAAGTGATTTTAAATTTAAAATTTTTAATCATTTCACTAAAAAATTTATTAGAAATTGCAGACAAAAATACAATAATTTAAAAACTTTTTAAGTGAAAAAATGGTTTCAGATAGTTGAATTTTCGAAGAATATTATAAAAAAAACATAATTGAATTTCAGGAGAGTTATAATTGAAATTATTAAATTTCAAAAAATTTTAAATGGAAAATTTTAGAAGCTTTTTCCAATATTTATAATAAGAGAAATTTTTAGTGATTTCTGTTGATGAAGAATTTATTAGAAATCACATAAAAAAAATTGAAATTGAATAATTGAATTTTCGAAGAATATTATAAAAATCATTAAAAATAATTGAAATTTTTTGCAAATAATAAAATTTCAAGTGATTTTGAATTAAAAATTTTTGGTAATTTTATTTGCTTACTTTTTTTAAAATTATAAACAATTTTTAAATTTCACAAAAAATTTTAATTGAAAAATAGTAAAGATAATTGAATTTGTGAAGAATTTCATTAAAATTATTGAAAATAATTAATTTAGTAAAGAATTTTAGTTAAAAATTTGTTTAATAATTAAAATAAAGAAGATGTGAAGAAGATCTGCATTGTATACTAAAAAAAACGTATTTTATTAAAAATTATTTTAAAAAAATGTAAAAAAAAAGTTGAAAAAGTCGCATTTTATTCAAATAAGTCGAAAAAGTCGTATTTTTGAACAAAAAAGTTGGAAATAGTCGTATAATCCGTGGCTTGTATATATGAAAAATTCTTTGAATAATATATTTTTTTGTTATTATTTATTAAATTGCAGAAATTTATGCTTTTTGAAATTAAATTATTTTTTTTTTTTTTAATTTCTGTCGTGGGAAAACGTGAGAATAAGTGCTTGGTGTAATTTGCATGATGCTTTTTCACAACGCCATGCATATATTACGTCACATGCGTAAAACGTTGTGATAAAAATCAGAACTAGTGTAGAAAAAAAATAAATAATTTTTATTTAAAACTCAATTAACTTCTAAAATGACTAAATTGTTTTAAAAATTAATTTATTCATTATATTTTAATGACTGACAATTAGTAGATAATTTTACAAATTTTTAGAATTTACCTTTTTGGCACTGAAAATAAAAAATATCTGATTCAAATAATTTTTTATTTAATTGTTATCAAATAAATATTTATTTGTAATAAATAATTATTATTTTTGAGTCAATTAAATGGTATTTAGTAATGTTTCATACTTTATAAGACCTATTAGACTGTTATTTTGATAATAAAATTCGAAGTTTCTATTTTTCTTAAATTCTTTATTAAAATAAGTTAAAAATAATAATAATTTTATAAATAAATAGTAAATAATTTTATAATATTAATTTTATATAGAAAAATAATGATAAATAATTTTAACATAATAATTATTTTAAATAAATAATAATACACAATTAAGAGTATAATAAAAAATTTAAAAAAAATTTGTTTGTGGTTCAAGTAAATATTTATTTAATAGTACTCAAGTGACTGATTATTTAAAGGAAATAAATTTTTTTTCAGTCTAAAGCAATGGGAATCTAGAGCTTTTTTTCCAAGTTGTGATTCATACAACTTTGTTTTAACTAGATTAGGATATACGACACAAAATTACTGTTTTTAAGAAAATTAACTCTTTACTGCAAGATTGCATTATTGATTAAATTATTGTTTTTTTTAAAAAATAACTCCTTAGTAGGTGAAAGATTATATTAAAATAAAAAAAACATGTAAAATTCAAAAAAAATATTTAAATTAACGAAACGTATGAATAATACCTAAAATTAATTTGTTTATATTTAAATTTAATAATTTTTTTATTTTTATTCCACAGAATTTCATTATATAGAATTTTCTTTTAGCCGAATACCGAATTTTTATTTGTTTCGAATTTTTTTTTTTTTGACAAAATTTCCATTAAATCGATTTTCTATATTACAAAATGTTTACTTAACCGAAAATTCATTTAACAGAATTTCTATTTGATCGGATTTTTATTTGACCGAACTTTCATTTGTTCGAATAAACATTTGGCAGAAAAATTGCGGCGCGAATTTTAAAATTAACGAAAAAAAAATAAAAAAATTCGAATAAATTAATTTTGGACATTATTTATTCGTCTATAACCATCGTAAATATTGAAAGATTTCTTAACAAAAACGTGTTATCTTTTCAAATTTTTTAAAAACTTTTTAATTTTAATTTTTTAAATTAAATTTTTATTGTTAAGATATAAATTAATAAATCTGGAATTTAATTGATAGAATTTTTAAAGCGCCGAATTTTCATTTGTCCGAAATTACAAATGGCCGAACAAACAATCGATAGAAAGATTTCGGTGCAATTTTTAAAATTGACCAATTAGAAATTATCAAGTAAATCGTGATTGGTCAATTTTCAAAATTGCGCCAAAAACCTTTCTTCCGATTGTTCGTTCGGACATTTGTAATTTCGGTCAAATTAAAATTTGGAGAATTGAAAATTCTAGGATTTAAAAATTCGAAGCAGTTAAAATTCTATTCAATGAGAATTTTGCGAAATTAAAATTCGAATGAATTAAAATTCTGTTTTATTTTAAAAAAAATTATTAACAATAAATTATAAATAAATTTCAGATTATTAACATTAAATTATAAATAAATTTCAAATTATTAACATAAATAATTTTATCAGAATAAAATAGCAAAAAAGAATACTTCAATGAGTATTCTTAGTATTCTATATAATATTGTTGATGAAATACACTTATAATTTTTTATTGTTTATCTTTCTTGAGATGTTCATACTATAAACGTAATAAATCAATAATGAACGTAATATAAAAAAAACAAAATTTTTATTTTACTATAAAAATTTAAAAATATATTTAAAAAATCCCAAAATTTACTCACCATATAAGAAAATTGTATTTTTTTCTGTTTTTAGCACGTTGACACTGATATCTTATAAATTTAACACGTAAAATCGGTTGAGCATTTCTTTTTACGTATTTAAAAAAATATTCTATTTATTTAATTATTTTGTTGTTCCTAAAACTTTTTTTGTACTTTTTTTTTGTTATCTTACTTTCTTCTAAGTTATGTACAATCACTCATTTTTATTTTTTTGATTATCAAAATTTAATATTTCTTTCTTCTTTCTGTTATTATGAATTTTTTTTTGTTCACTAATTCTTTATTACCACTTTTTTTTAAAAAAAAACTTTTCACTCTTTCATAAATTTAAAAAAAATTTTTTTTTTTTCTTCTTTTTTTCTTTACCCTTTTCAAATTGAAAATAATATCTCACTTAATTTGTATTTGAAATTAATATTTTTAAGAAAAACCTTTTTAGAATATATAATTGGTTAGACTAATTTAATTTTTTTCCTTGGTGAAAAAATGAATAACTTTTGCTAACTAATTCGTTAAATAAGTGTTAATCTTTACCCGAGAGAAACGACACGTAGAGTTGAAATGAATGTCAGATGGCTGAAGCACTAAAAACTACCTGCCACCTCCCACTAACAACTAACGAGAAGTTCATCTCACTGTACTCTCAGTTATTACAATACACAAGCGATAATAAATAAAGCAATGTCTTTTAATAAGCGCACCCAGTTTGTATTAACAAGTCAACTTTTTATCGCTTTCCAGTTTTCACCATTTTAATATATTTTCTCAAAGTGGTGATATAGCATGATTCACGTGTATATTCAAATTCCTCATTTTTTTTTTTCATTCGTATTTACAACGTTATACTTTCTTATAAAAAAGCATTTACGTTTCAAATAAATAAATTAATAAAAAAAAAATAATTTTCAATTTATAATTCGTATAAAATAATCTAAAATAGAAGCTATCATTTATGTACCACTCAGTACATTTATGCTTAAATAAATAAATAAAAATTATCTTACAATATTTCTGTGAAAGTGATGTCAAGTGCTAAATTTATTATTTTATTTATTATTAATTTCAATATTTTAAGTACTGAAAAAACATAAAATTTCTATAAATGCTACTAAAATTATTATTTTTTAAACTTTTTCTTCTAAAAATTATTGTCTTACATTTTTATAATTGTAGGCCTCGTATCGACTTTCGAAAGAAAAAAAAGTCATTTTAGTCGATTTACGTTACAAGAAATGTATAAAAAGTCCATTTTTTTTTTATTTTTTAATTAGTTGATAAATATTTAATTATTATTAAAAATTTTGTTATTTGAAATTAAATAAAATTTATTAATTCCTTAAGAAGGATGTTTCACAGAAATATTTTCAACAATTTTAATTTTAAACCACCAAATTAAAATGAGACAATGTTTCAAGATTTCAATCCACTTTCAGAACAAATTTTCAAAAATAATTTAAAGTTACATTAATAAAACAGAAAATTTTTCATGTCTGATTTATGCACATTATTCAAAATCGTAATTTCGGAAAATGTTTTAAATAATTAAATTTTCCAAGAATTTCATTAAAATATTATTCAAAAAAAATTAATTTTGAATGAAAATTTGTGAAATAATTGAATTTCAGAAGATTTTTAATTAAAATTTTCAAAATAATTGAATTTCGAAGAATTTCATTTAAAATTTTTAGAAATAATTGAATTTCAAGGAGATTTTCATTTGAAACTTTTATAAATTTGAATTAATGAAATTTTTTTACAAATTTCAAACAATTATTGAATATTAGAGAATTTTCAACTAAAATATGTTCTAAATAATTGAATTTTGATGGAAATTCATTAAACAAAAAATTATGTAGATAAAAATTTGCAATTGAATTAACATTCAATTAATTACTAATTATTATTAACTAGCAAAATTAAACGCGCGCAAGCGTGCCAAATTGAGTATTTAATTGTTTGTTATAAAGAAATTAAAGATTAATATTATTAATAATAATTTAATTTATTAGAATATTATTACATATTAAATGATAATAATGAAAATTATATGTTTACAGGCCTTGGATTATACGACTTTTATCGACTTATTTTAATAAAATGCGACATTTTTTTTTACAGTTGAAAAAAAATGTAAATAAAATACATTTTTTTTAGTATAAAATGAAGATTTTCTTTAGATCTTCTTCAATTTAATTATTTAACAAATTTTTAACTAAAATTCTTTACTAAATTAATTATTTTCAATAATTTTAATGAAATTCTTCACAAATTCAATTATCTTAAACTATTTTTCAATTAAAATTATTTTTGAAATTTAAAAATTGTTTATAATTTAAAAAAAAATAGTTAATAAAATTACCAAAAAATTTTAATTCAAAATCACTTGAAATTTTATTATTTGCAAAAATTTCAATTATTTTTAATGATTTTTATAATATTCTTCGAAAATTCAATTATTCAATTTCAATTTTTTTTATGTGATTTCTAATAAATTCTTTATCAACAGAAATCACTAAAAATTTCTCTTATTATAATTATTGTCTGAAATTTAACACAATCTTTTGAAATTCAATTATTTTTAAAAATTTCAATTTAAAAGCTTCTAAAATTTAATTATTTCTAAAATTGTCCATCTAAAATTTTTTGAAATTTAATAATTTCAATTATAACTTAAAATTCAATTATTTTTAATGATTTTTATAATATTCTTCGAAAATTGAACTATCTGAAACCATTTTTCACTTAGAAATGGTTTTCAAATCATTGTATTTTTGTCTGCAATTTGTAATAAATTTTTTAGTGAAATTATCAAAAAATTTAAAATTAAAAATCACTTAAAGTTCAATTAATTTCAAAAATCAAAATTGTAAATCTTTGAAAATTCAATTACATTTTAAAAAATGTTATCTAAGATTATTTGATAAATTATTTTTAGTTCTGTAAAATTTAATAATTGTCTGAAAATTAACAAAATTTTTTTAAATTCAATTATTTCTAAAAATTTTTAATTTTAACTCTTCGAAAATTATTATTCAAAAAAAAAATTTTATTTAAAAATCTGTAAAACTTAATTAAGTACTTGATACAGTTGCCTGAAATTTTTTTTGACCATCAAAACTAAAAACTGTGACAACATTTTTAATTCGAATAAATTGCTTAAATCAGACTTGAAAAAATGATAAAAATGGAACTTTAAGAATTTTTTTCTAGAAATTTGTCTTACTTAAAAATGATAATTTGTCTTACAATTAATTCGATTCTAAAATATTCGAAATAAATTTTCTTTGATAATATTTTTATACAATTATTCTTATTACAGAATTAATAAAACGAATTTAATATCTAATAACATTAGTTATTTAAATTAAAATATTCATTAACGAATTACATTTAGTTAAAATAAAAAATCGACTTTTTTTGGAATATAAATCGACTAAAATGACTTTTTTGTGCTTTAAAGTTTACATTTGAAAAAAAATGTAAATAAAATACATTTTTTTAGTATAAAATGTAGATTTTCTTCAGATCTTCAATTCAATTATTTAACAAATTTTGAACTAAAATGATTCTTCACTAAATTAATTATTTTTAATAATTTTAATTAAATAAATCACAAATTCAATTATATCAAAATTATTTTTCTATTAAAATTTTTATGAAATATAACAATTGTTTATAATTTAAAAAAAAATATCACAATAAAATTGAATTATTTTTTAAAAATTTCAATTCAATAATTATCAAAAATTTTCAATTTAAAATTTAATTATTTACCAAGTTTTCAATTTAAAATGAAATAAAATTCAATTATTTTCTAAAATTTCTATTCAAAATTAATTATCCAAATTTTCAATCAAAAATGAACTTAAATTAAATTATTATCTAAAATTTGAATTAAAATTCAATTATTTCCCAAAATTTTCAATTCAAAATGAACTGAAATACAATTATTTTTCAAATTTAAAATCAAATAAAATTCAATTATTCTCAAAAATTTGAATTCAAAATTAATTGAATTTTCAATAATTTGAATTTAAAAGCATCTAAAATTGAATTATTTCTAAAATTTTCCAACGAAAATTTTTTTTTTTTGAAATTTAATAATTTCAATTAGAACTCTAAGGAAATTCAATTATTTTTAACTATTTTAATAATATTCTTTGAAATTTCAACTATCTGAAACCATTTTTCAATTAAAAATGATTTTCAAATTATTGTATTTTGTCCGCATTTTCTAATAAATTTTTAGTGAAATCATGTAAAATTTTAATTAAAAAACACTTAAAGTTTCAATTAATTTCAAAAATCTCAATTTTAAATCTTTGAAAATTCAATTAAATTTAAAAAATGTTTTCCAAAAATTGTTTGAAAATTAACAATATCTTTTGAAATTTAATTATTTCTAAAAATTTCAACTTTAACCCCTCGAAAAGGATTATTATTAAAAAAAAATTTTTATTTAAAAATCTGTAAAATATTTTTGTTAAAATAAAAAACAAATCCACTTTTTCTTGGAATATAAATCGACTAAAACGATTTTTTGTGTCTTTAAGTTGATTCGAGGTCTGTGTTTTTATAATTAATATTTAATATTTAATAGGTATTCGTTGGCCCCTGGTACCTTAAAAATTAAATTTAAAAAATAAATTTTTTTCAAATTACTATCTTGTACGAAATTTCCTGGCGCATCTTTTTTCTCATCATAAATTTTTTGTGTTTGTATAGAATTTTTGAATGAATATACAACTTTAAAAAAAATTTCGTTGGTAAACGTTGTGTACTTCAGCTTCGTGAATTGAATTTTGGAATTTGGAATTTTAAAGAAACTTATTCCCAAATTTGGAAACACAATTATACAACTTTGGCAAAAATGAGAAAAAGAATTGTCAAAATTTGACACGTCATAAGATTACTATTCAAAAAAACACGTGAAAGCAGAAAAGGCCAACTTCAAGTCAGGACAGAAGTACAGACCAAGCATTTTATTATATAATTATTATTAATAATTATTACTATTACTAATAATTACTAATTGAATTTGGAAGAGCTGGAGTTAACATTTTGTTGAAAGTAATTAAATTTCAGAAGATTTTAAATTGAAATTTTCATAAATTTTAATTGATAACATTTTTTTACAGACTTTAAAGAATAATAGAATTTTATAGTATTTTTAATTAAAAAAAACATTTTATTTCCCTAAATTGTTGAAAAACTGTAAAATTTTATTAAAGTTATCAGAAATAATTAATTGAAAAGAAAAATTGAAGTTAAAAATTTTAGGAATAATTGAGTTTTGAAAGAGCAATAGTTAAAATTTTTGAAACTTATTGAATTTCAAGAGATTTTTAATGAAAATTTTCGTAAATTGGAATTTCTGTAGATATTTTATAAATTTTAAACAATAATTAAACTTTGAAGAATTTTGAATTTAAAAATGTTTTAAATAATTGAATTTTCGAAAATCTCAATTAAAATTAAATTATTCAACAATTTCAATATTAGATAGAAATTTTAGAAATAATTGCATTTTAGAAGAGTTCGTTTTAAAATTTGTAGAAATAATAATTGAATTTCAGAAGATTGTTAATAATTTTCCTAAAACTTAATATTTGTTTGTTTTTGGGGTCGTTAATTTCGAATCTGACATC